ACCACCTGGCCATGCCGGGCCTCTAATTTTCATGACATAATATCACAAAATTAATTAAAAAGCAAATTGAATTTTCTGGTTACACTACAGTTTTTAAATAGTTTCTTGCAGTATGTGACTTATTTTGGTTAATGATGGGCATTGGTTGTGAGAATAAAATATTTACAAACTTAATCAACAACCTCCGTTTCATACACTTCTCAAAACCACAAGAAAAACTTAATTTTAATCTTCTTTTTTTTCTAGGATTGGAGTGTTTTTTTGGGGGTTCTTTTTTTACAAATCAAACAGCCAAATGGGACTACAGTGGCCTCAGAACACCAAGATTGTACTGAAACTAAAAATTGACTATGCAGTGTTCTAAACCAAAATGTCCAATAATATAAATTATTAGTTTATATTGTGATCATTAGTTTGAATCTAGAAATCCTGACACTTAATTGAAACAGAAATATAGGATGAATAAATCCTTCTACTCGTGTCTTGTCTCCAAGAAGTAATAATAATACCTGCTTGAACTGTAACTGTTCTATGTTATTTATTAGAAGTGCTATGTGAGGGACCTTCACACATTTTGTGAGACTTATATGGATGGGTAGTTTACCTTAATATTTTTTCTCACAAAAAAGGTTTGAATTAAAGGTATGTTTATTACTTTTAGATCGGTGGTTGGAACATTACAGGGGATTTTGATGTTGACCAGTGGAACTTTCAAAACACTCTGACAATGATTCATAACACCTACAACTATGAAGGCCTTTTTTCATGGATTGTAGGGCAAAATCAGAAGAACTCGTCCTACAACATCCTCCAGGTGGACCAAGGAGGACTAAATCTGCCCTCCAGAGATTATTATTTAAACAAAACCCAAGATGATGAGGTGTGTGGTATGTTGTATGTTTTAGGATAGTAAAACTGGGCAAGCATTTAAACTAAATCTAAAAATTCATCAGGTACCAGAACAATATTGTTGCGCCAGCGAGTCACATGACTAGTGCGACGCCACGTTTCTAGAACTATCCCGTACCTTGGCGAATGCTCTAGTATTTACTAGGTATAGGGTAGTCTGATATATAAAAAAGGGTGACAACGTGACGGGAGAAGAATGTAATGTGTGTGTCAAGATAGTGAGTAATTGAACTGCAGTCAAAAGTATTATTGACGTTCGTTGATATAGCGTTTGTTTTAGCGCGATTGTTGAAAATAAGTGTATCGTAAAGTTGTATTCGGAAAGAATAAACCAGTTTTATAGGTAAAGAACTTGTGTCGCTAATGTTTCGTCGGAACGAAGTTACGGAAAGTTAATTAACAAACGGAGACGTAACAATAATT